CATGGAGATGAATCCCACGAGCACTACCCTAAGGAAACAGACCAGATGCGGAGATCTGCAGGGCTCCATTTATATGAATCTCTACAGCATAAGAAACAAATAATTAGTGCAGGAGATCGGGAATGCAGAGAAGAGGTAAGGAATTAACTGAGAAAGGCTATGGGGACACTTTCTGGAGTGCAAAAATTAATTTACTTTTTGGGGTTGGGGAGAGAGCTCAGATGGCAAGGTGGGGGAACTGAATTCAATCCCCAGAGCTCACGCAATGTGTGATGGCTTGGAATTTCAGTGCTGGGAGTCAGAAAGAGTCAGATCCTTGGCGGTTACTGGCCAGCCAGGCTAGCCCACCCAGCCAACTCCAGGCTAGCCTACACAACCAACTCCAGGCTAGCCCACTCAGCCAACTCCAGGCTAGCCTACACAGCCAACTCCAGGATAATGGCAGACCCTGTTTTTCTGTTGTTGCTGCTGCTGTAATTCTTTAAGAAGCTGTAATGAGCATGGAAGCAGATTCCTCTGAATGAATAAATAAAGGGGAATCTGTAGTGTAGATAGAGCAGGAAATTTATAGAATAAGAATGAATGTAACTTGGTATAATGTAAAAGCATTTCTTCTTGTGTGGTGTATGGAAAATTACTAAGGTAAAATATTGGGAGAGCATTTGCCCGTTTGAAGGCTGCCACACCCATCTGGCCCTGCCAGATGTGGGGGGCTGCACCCAGCAACCGTGGTAACGAAATAATCTTGCCACACAAGAGGTTCCCCCACCCTTCTGTGGCCAGTCGATACTGATAACCTAGGACATCTGGTTATTGAAAGGATCAAACGAGGGGCAATTTTGAACTGGCATAAAAGAGGTGGCTGAAGCAGAGTGGTTATCTCACTTCTCACAATGGCTCTGGCACCAGGCCTCCGTGGAAAGAGAGATCCTCCTAGCCTGCTTCCCGAAAAGCAGCAATATTGAATGCCTTGCCTAAACATTTAATGCTCTGTCTCCCAAGCACAGAGCTTTGTCTCCCGAAAACAGACATTTAACACCTTGCATCCCGAATGCAAATCCTCATTCCATGAGAGTGGACATTGAAGGTCTGTCTCCCGAGAACAGAGTAGATACTCTGCCTTTCAGAATGCTTTGCCATCCCGAAAGCAAAGCTTCGTCTTTTGAGCAGACAGAACGCTTTGCCATCCCGAGAGCAAAGCTTCATCTTCAAGAGTAGAGAACTAAAAGCCTTGTCTCCCGAGACTCGGTCACCCGAAAGCCGAGTCCAAGGCACTACCAGATACCAGCCTGGAACATCAGGACCTTATCTCCCGAGTGCAGACTACGGGGTCAAGAGTCGATCTTTGCTACCCAGCCCCCAGTGCGGACAAGAGCCCAGCCTGAAGAAATTCAAAAAGCCCTTTTTAAGCCAGGGAATATCAGGTCGTATGATGCTATTTCATGTGTGTATGAGATGTTAAGAGAAGTGCATAGATGTGTTAATACATATGTTAATGTGTGAAATGTTAAGAGATGTTTTATGGATAATTGATCAGATTAGGAAATAATGGATAAGCTAAGGTTAAGGAGTGTTTTATAGATAATTAATGGATAAGTTGTATTAAGGTTATAGATAATTAATGGATAAGTTGTATTAAGGTTAAGATAAGTTAGATTAAGATTATGAATTGGTTTTATGTATTAGGTTTAGTAGGGTTAATAATTGTGATATTGAATTGCCTGTGTGTTGCCCATTATCAATCCCCCATGCCTACTGAGATTGTAACCCCCATTGATGCATTGGATATTGAAGTTGCTAGTAAAGAATCATCATAAAAACAATTCTCTTGCTTGGTCTGGTTACTCATCACTCTCTGGGGAGAAGGGCACAGAGTCCTCATAGATATTACTCGAAAAGAACCTGGAGCTGAAGTCCCCCAGCTCGTAACAGAAGCATATTACCCTTGTGCAATGACACCATAGCTGACCGTTAGCCTTCCCAAACATAGGCACCCACATGATGTCAACTTCCCTCCCAAAGAAACACTGTATCTTAATAAAAGTACATGCTCATCAACACTGTAGAAAATACATTGAAATATGCGCATTTTACTGTATGTAAAATGTACCTCAGTAAAAAATTGATGAAATTTGAAACGCTTTGTAAGTACTAAATTTTATGGAAACGTAAAATGCACTGTTAAGCCTAGGATGGTAATGACGCCTTTAGTCCCAGCACTCAGGAGGCAGAGGCCGGCAGATCTCTGTGCATTCGACCAGTGTGAGCTACATGGTGAGTTCCAGGACAGCCAGAGCTACATAGTAAGACCCTGCCTCAAGCAAACAGAAAAAAAAAAAAAAAAAAACCACTGTTGCTCACTGAAATAATGAACTTTTGTACATTGCGCTCAGATTACCTCACATGAGTGACTTGTAGTAGCTCAACAAATGTAAATTAGGGGACTGGAGAGATGGCTCAGTGGCGAAGAGCATTTGTTACTCTTGAAGAAGACCCAGGTCTCTGGTTCCCAGCATCCACATGACATCCCTCAACCATCTGTTACGCCAGTTCCAGGGGATGCAGCACCCTCTTCTGAATCAGGCACACATGAGGTGCACACACAGAACAGGACAGGCAAAACGCTCAGATAAGAATCTAAGTGTGCTTTCTTGAGCCTGTTTTCTTTTATTATCTAGTTTGGGCTCACATGGGAATATAGGGACTTCTGAAAAAACTCAGAGAGCAAACAAAGACAGAGGTACTAAGTTTAGAAATAATGACTCATTCTAAGACCAAAGCGGCATATGGGCTGCTCCACAGCCTATAGACACATGCTCTAAACCAGATTCCCTAGATTTCCGTAGGAAAAGGAAGCTTCTATTTAAAACGCAGCCCAAGAAAAACAAGTAGCAATAAAAAGAAAAATGGCTGCTCCAGCCAGCACCTTCTGAAGGATCTTTTCCTCCTCACAACGGCCCTGTAGAACAGTATTGTTTTCATCCCAAGGGCAAGGATAGCCAAGGCACTAGCAGTAAGATCCACACCAGAAATTCAATCACGTGTGTGACTGACTCAAGAGCTTCCAGGTATAAATGCCCGCGTATTGTTCTGATTGGTTATCTTCACACCACTAGGCGATTTAATCAGATTGTACAAGATTCAGTAACAGCATTCCTTAACATTTATTTATTGACTCTTTACCCATGGTCACATTTTCCCTCCAACACCATGGTCAACCCAACGACTTCCCACATGTTGTACAGATGCACCAGCCCTGAGCCGCAAGCCAGCTCAAGCCTCAGACTTTCGTTCAGGGCTTACTAATGCACAGACAAGCCAGAATCCTTATGTGATGGCTATTCTTGGTTGCAAGTTCACTAAAACCCAACTGAACAAAACTAAAACCCAAAAATGGAGGCCACGCCTGTGAGGGATTTTTATTTTGCTTTGTTTTGTTTTTCGGGACAACATTGTTCTCTGTGCAACATTCCTGGGTGTCCTGAAACTTGCCTTGTAGACCAAACTGGCCTCAAACTCACTGAGGTCTGATGTGAATGCCCTTCAGTACACTGTGAATATGTTTTATTACCATTGGTTAATAAGGAAGCTGCTTTGGCCTATGATAGGACTAAATATAGCTAGGCGGGAAATTCAAACAAAGCTCCAAGGAGAAAGAAGGCAGAGTCAGGGAGACTGCAGCTGCTGAAGGAGTAAGATGCCAGAGCATTGATCAAGTCACGGAGCACATAGCGATATTAGATATAGCGATTATTAGAAATGGGTTAATTTATATGTAGAACTAGCCAGTAAGAAGCCTAAGCCATCGGGAAAACAATTATAATTAATATTAAGCCTCTGAATGATTATTTTATAAGTGAGTGCGGACCGGTGGGTGGGAGAGAAACTGGTCCTATGGGGTGGGCAGGACAGAGAAAAATCTTCAGTTACAAAGATCCACCTGCCTCTGCCTCCCAAGTGTTGGGATCAAATGTGTGCCACCACTGGTGTTTTTGTTTGTTTGTTTGGGGTTTGTTTTGTTGTTTTGTTTTTTTGAGGGTTTTTTTTTTTTTTTTTTTTTTTTTTGCCTAATTTGAAGTATACACACTCTTAACCCAGATCTTGAGGTAGGAAAGGACACCTTTATCTGGACCACATCTTTTCCTGGCAGCCTACATAGAGACATGAAGGAAGGAAGCTTTTGTTTTGTCCCTGCTTGCCCTCGCCTTCACTGGCAGTAGTGTATGTATCTTCAGGATCCCAGCAAGTTCACAACTGTAGTAAGCGAAAGCAGGGTTTGGGCCTCTCCAGCCGGGATTCTTGGACCACATGATCCTGGCCCCTGTCTTAGTTCGGATCTGACTACCTGAGCCCTAATACACTGTCAGCCCTCAGAAGGGCTTGAATTTGAGTTCTCATTCTCAGCTCCAAAGTCCTCTTGAGGAGAATTCTGAGGCTGCTCTCCACAAAATGAGTTGCACCCAAACAACACCGCAGAAAAATAGCTCTAACTCTTAACCGAAAGCCATAACCATGGATAGAACCCATATCATTCACTAAGCCCTTGTGGCAAATGTCTTGGTAACCTGTTACTCAAAAACGTATCTCAGCTTTCCTTAGTAAAATCAATAATCTGATTTTTTTTTCCATTCTAAAAGGCCATGAGCCCGCTAGAAACTATACTGAAAAAAAATCAGCTCTTCTAATTCTTATCTATTTTTATCATGAATGAAATTTGGCTGTCTATTGTGGAAATCCAGCCTCATCACAAGCCTTCCTCCCGGCCCCCTCCCCACACCGCTTCTAAAATCTCCGAAGTACAGACTGAGACTGTGTCTCCTTCGCGTTAGAGGGAAACATGAGAAAGTGAGATAAAACACAACGAACCCCAGCGTTTCCTGAAGAAACTCTGGGACCTCCTAGATTCTTCCCAGGGCTGTTGGGAGCTGAAATCAAAAGCAATCAGCAACAACACAGGGAAGGGGGTTCTCACAGCGAGGGGACATCTTGCTTATTCTTACCTCAAACTGCAGCTCCCAGCTCAGCAAAGTTACAAATTTCACGGACCTCCTCGAACGTCGTGGATGGGTGGCCGTTATCTCCATCCCGTGCCCTTCATAATTTAATGAGGAGTCCCGTGGTTTCAACTCCCAAGCAATCTGTAAGACAATAACCGCATAGCAGCTCACACCTTCGTCTGTGCGTTCTCTCGCTTTAGAACAGCTTCAGAGTCCTCTGCCCCTCTCTGTACATTTCCTACAGAGGAAAACTGGGGTTTTATTTAACTTTCTGTTCGTGGTCAATAGTTCCTGGAGCATAGGGGTATTTCCTTAGTCACTTGTAATTGAAAGTCTCCACCTCTTAGCTCCAGGAAACCATAATTTTTCACTCGACTTAAACCTGAAAAGTCTAAGTCGGCCACAGCGGTTCATTCTAAGACCACAGTGTCCGATACCCTTGATAACCAGCCTTTCTCCCACCACACTTCCTGTTAAGATGCCAAGGAGCTACCCTGAGGTGTCTACTTTTCTTGTTAACGGGAGCAGGGTGATGGGCTACCTGGTTGCCTCACCTTGACAATGACTCCCTGCCTAGCGAGGCTTCTCAGGACGACTGGACACACACACCTTCCTCTGCTTTAGTCAGGAATCTACAGCTGTCTCATTCCCTTCTACGATTCCCACCAAATGCTCGACTAGATTCCAGGCAGGGCACTGAGCTCTTACCTAGAACAGAGATAACGTTCTAGGAGGTTGATTACTTACATCTGTGGTTCTCGACCTTCCTTAAACTGCGACCCTTCAATACAGTCGGTTCACGTTGTGGTGACTCCCGACCATAAAATTGCTCATTGCTGATTCATAACTGTAATGTTGTTACTGTTGGGAATCGTAATATAAATGTCTGATATGTGACCCCCCCCAAAGGGGTCTCGACCCACAGGTTGAGAAACATTGAGTTACATTAAAGCGATCCCTGCCCTACACTTAACAAGTAGAAAAGGGAGTCTGGAAGTACCTTCTCTCACTTCCTCCCTGGGACTCAGAACTCAGTTTTTATTCTGTGAGATTCCAGTGTGTTCACTTCAACAGCACTGGTGTGTGGTGTGAAAATAACTCTTACGTTTTCTTTCAAAATGCTTGGCTAATTTAGAATTCTAGAAAGACAGACATCTCCCGAGTGAACCCCTTCTTTTAGCCATAAGGACGGGGATGATATAATGATGTGCATTTTTAAACAAAAATCACTTAGGGTCACCCCCTCTTTCCTCCCGACCTCCATGTCACAATTGTAATCCCAGGACACCTAGGGCAGTGCGGAAGACAGAACCGCCCAGAAGCCTGCAGGCCTGCCAGCCTAGAGTGATCTCAAAAAAATGGAAGACCTTGTCTTACCAAGATGGAAAGACATATGGCTCCTCCTACAAGTTGCTCTCTGAACCCTACAAGCATGCTGCCACACACCTGTGCCCATCCACACACACAAGCGCGCATACATGCACAACACAAACACATACATGCACCCATACACGCCACAATAATAATAAATGATTTTAAATAATTTTGGATTTATTTTAAGGACTCTTTTTTTTAAAAGATTTATTTATTTATTATGTATACAACATTCTGCCTCCATGTATGCCCTCACGCCAGAGGAGGGCGCCAGATCTCATTACGGATGGTTGTAAGCCACCATGTGGTTGCTGGGAATTGAACTCAGGACCTTTGGAAGAGCAGACAGTGCTCTAAACCACTGAGCCATCTCTCCATCCCATTTAAGAACTCTTAAAGAAAGAAAAAACTAAAGAAACAGAAGACTCGCCATGTTAATGGATTAGAATACTTAATATTATTAAGATGTTCTCCCAAATTAATCTACTGACGCAATTTATAGGTTAGCTATAAAGACCTCTGCTGCATTTTTTAATTAAAAAAATAGATGTTAATTACTATAAAATTATATGAAAACACAAAGGATCAAGAATAACAAAGTAATCCTAACTGAAGCACCCATTGTTGCCAAATTTCAACTACAATTATGATTGTAAGTCTAGGTTTATAGCTCAGTGAAATAGAACTGATTGTTCAGAAATAATATCCTTTTTTGTTTTGTTTTTGTTTTTTGAGACAGTGTTCCTCTGTAGCTTTTGAGCCTGTCCTCGAACTAGCTCTGTAGACCAGGCTGGCCTCGAACTCACAGAGATACGCCTGCCTCTGCCTCCCGAGTGCTGGAAGTAAAGGCATGTGCCACCACCGCCTGGCTCAGAAATATCTTACACTGATGGTCAGATACTTTTATAAAGGCTAAATAATTCAATGGAGATTGGTTTTGGTTTTTCAGTTTTTTTCAAAAGAATCTTTACTATGGATAGCTAATGAGCCTGGGCTTTCTTTTGGCTATCACAAGAGTATTCTGAAGTGATAACAGTTAACTCCAAGTGGCATCTTAATGCTAAGTTCTCTTGGTTCCTTGCTTTTTATTTCTTTTATTCTGTGTTTGCTCTTTCCATCCCAAATGGTAACACTGACCTGGAAGTTTAATTTGACGAGAATTGAAATAATAACTTCCCACTAAATGCCAAATTCTTCACAGACAAAAATGTCGGGACCACAGAACGGCTGTGAATTTTTATGGTGCCGAAGAGTTGGAGAAGCTGATGCATAGCACGTTTGACAGTTCACCGGGTAGGACTGGGTTCTTCCCTGCCCCACACACATGCTAATTACAGCAGGAGTCTCCCTCCAACCCATTAGAGACAGAAAACGAGTCAGAGAAGTAGCCGCCAATCCGAGTGTTCAAATGAGCAGTCAGCCTGTTCACAAAGCACAGGCGCAGTGAGCTTGGTTGGGTAGGGACCTGTTTACATACCTAAGGTAGAGTGGTGGAATTTTTTTTACCCAATTTCAGAATTTAAGAATGTTGTTTTCCCCCTGCCAGCCTCCCAACCCCAACTTTCTCATGTTAGGAATCTTGAGCGAGAGAATGGCTAAGTGGACAATGGTGATCAGGATATCTCTTCATGGCAATGGAAACCTTAAGTAAGACAAGAGGTGGTACCAGGGACTGGGGTATTGTTGCGATAGGCCAGAGCATGCTTTCGTGTAGAGGAATATGGAACACTTTGGGACTTAGAACTAGAAAAGTGATTGGACATTTTAAACCAGGCTTAGTAGGCCATTCTAGTAGGAACACGTGAGACGGTGGTGCAGAGGGTGATTTGAACTGTGGGGGACTGGCTGGAAAGGCTTCAGAGGAGCGTGTGAGCATATGGGTTTGACACCAACCTTGGGATATTTTGGTGAACAATGTAGCTGCTTTCTGAGGATAAATGGAAGAGTTTTGGATTAATTGTGTTTGCAGAGGAGATTTCAAAACAGGCCAGTGTTGGTTGACTATGTTGTGTGGTTATTAGTGGCCAGTCTTATGCAGGTTTATAATGAAAAGGAGAACGCTGAGCAAGGAAAAATATAAAACATACAGTTGGATGAGAAAAGGAGCACTAGGAAGTGCAAGCAGGTTAAAGAAATGCCTGCTGCTGAGTAAAGGGAGTGGTGACCTCAGAGCAAAACCCCACCCAGTTACGTTTCCAACTCGCGAAAAAGAATTAAAGAAGGGCATAGGGACAGGTGTGGGGGTGCACATCTTTAATCCCAGCACTCAGAAGGTAGAGGCTGGCAGATCCCTCAGTTTGAGGCCAGCCTCGTTTACAGATGGAGTTCCAGGACAGCCAAGTTCAGGCAGTGAAGGAAACCATCGGAAACAGAAAGCTGATGAAAATGTATTTAAACTTGGCAGCTTCGACTTTAAAGTCAAGAAAGAGGTTACGGAGTCTACCTCTGCAACTAAGGAAAGCCGCTAAAGACAGGCACGTGTCGGGGTATCCCTGCATGGAGATCCAAAGAGGCCATTGTGGGAAGCTGTGAAGGTGAAACCTTGAAGATCCCAAGATGTTAGAGATGCCAGAGCTGTGGCCTACCTGCTGAGGAGAGCTGCTAACCGGGAGTGGAGGAGTGGAACCAGCCTGAGAGAAAGAAGTGTGTTGGAGTCAACAAAGCTGAGCAGATTTGGACATCTGAAGAGCATTTTGACATGAGACATGGAGATCCTGTTCGGAGCTTGCCCAGCTGGGTTTTGATTTTGTTTCAGTACAATATTTTCTCACTGTTCCTCCTTTTTGAAATAGTAATGTATATCCTGTGCCAATAAACGTTGGGATGAACTTCTGCCTCTTATTATTGATGTGATCCTTATTCTAAGACTAAATTCCAGAAGTTTTAAGGGTTAGGATTTTTCCCTGACAAAAAGGCCTCTCAGCCTAAGCATATGAATATCTGAGGAACTGGAATCAGTGTGGAGGCGGTATCAGTTAGGCACACCATTTGTGAACAGTATTTCAGTTTAGCTTCAAACGAACCCTATGAACTCGGCATCACTCCTTCTTCATAGCTGAGAAGACCAAGGACAGATACTGGGATGGTTTGTGTTAGACTGCAGAGCTAGTGAAAAGGAAGATGGAGACTTAAACCCACAGCTTGTTTCTTCCAAAGAAGTCCATGCCACCATTGTCAGGTCTGGAAACTTCAGAGAACGGGCATTTTGTGCCTGATCTTTGCTGCCTAGAAACTTGACCGTGTGTGTAGGGTTGGCACTATGCTGGTTGGTTTTAAATCTCAACTTGCCACCGCTGAGAATAACCTGAGAAGAAAGCCTCAGCTGAGGAATCGAGTAGATCCCCTTAACCTGCAGGCATGTCTGTGGAGAACTGTCTTGATAGTTGGTGCAGAGGATCTTGCCCGCTATGGGCATCACCATCCCCTAAGCAGGGCATCCTGACCGACGTAGAATATGAAAAATCAAGAGAAGTGGCAGAAATAGGCAGCTTCTAAGGGCTCCTTTCTGTCGACTCTTGACTGTAGATGTGATGGCTGCTCAAGTTGCTACCTCTGCTTCCCCTCAACAAAGAATTGTCAGACAAATAAATCTCACCCGCCCACCCGCCAAGTCACTTTAGGTTGAGTACTTCAGCACAGCAATATAAATGAAAATAGGCAAACTTGTGCAACCACTCTGGAAAGCAGTGTTTCGGTTTCTCAGGAAATTCGGGATCAACCTACCCATTGACCCAGCAATACCACTCTTGGGAATATACCCAAGAGAGGCCCTATCATACAACAAAAGTATATGCTCTACTATGTTCATAGCAGCATTGTTTGTAATAGCCAGAACCTGGAAACAACCTAGATGCCCTTCAATTGAAGAATGGATGAAGAAAGTATGGAATATATCCATATTAGAGTACTACTCAGCAGTAAAAAACAAGGACTTCTTGAAGTTTGCAGGCAAATGGATGGAAATAGAAAACACTATCCTGAGTGAGGTAAGCCAGACCCAAAAAGAGGAACATGGGATGTACTCACTCATATTTGGTTTCTAGCCATAAATAAAGGACATTGAGCCTATAATTCGGGTTCTTAGAGAAGCTAAATAAGAAGGAGAACCCAAAGAAAAACATATAGGCATCCTCCTGAATATTAACCTTCATCAGGCGATGAAAGGAGACAGAGACAGAGACCCACATTGGAGCACCGGACTGAAATCTCAAGGTCCAAATCAGGAGCAGAAGGAGAGAGAGCACAAGCAAGGAACTCAGGACCGCGAGGGGTGCACCCATACACTGAGACAATGGGGATGTTCTATCAGGAACTCACCAAGGCCAGCTGGCCTGGGTCTGAAAAAGCCTGGGTCAAAACTGGTCTCGCTGAACATAGCGGACAAGGAGGACTACTGAGACCTCAAGAACAATGGCAACGGGTTTTTGATTCTACTGGACCTATTGGTTTCGTGGGAGCCTAGGCAGTTTCGTGGATGCTCACCTTACTAGACCTGGATGGAGGTGGGTGGTCCTTGGACTTCCCACAGGGCAGAGAACCCTGATTGCTTTTTGGGCTGACGAGGGAGGGGGACTTGATTGGGGGAGGGGGAGGGAAAGGGGAGGCGGCTGGGGGGAAGAGACAGAAATCTGAAAGAAAGAAAGAAAGAAAGAAAGAAAGAAAGAAAGAAAGAAAGAAAGAAAGAAAGAAAGACAAAAAACAAAACAAAACAAAAAAAGAAAATAGGGCAGAAATCAGCACCAGGAAAGGAGTGCCTTCAGACGGATTCTCACATAGCCTGCCTCCTTCCTTCCTGGAACCTTAACTCCAATGGCATTCCAAACAAAATAAATAAGAGCTTTAAAAGGTGATTGGCATCTAACCTCCAATCTCACAGTGTGCCTTTCATGGGCCAACAAACAACCGAAGGTTGGTCATTTAATGGCCTTGTCTGAGGTTATGTGTCATCTTTGCTTATTAATGTCACCACCCTCCCCCGTGTGTTTGCTACGTGTGTGTGTGTGTGTGTGTGTGTGTGTGTGTGTATGCACGCGCATCTCAAGACATGCATGGGGAGCCAGAGTCTGAGTTCTAGCATTTTCTTCTACTGCTCTCCACGTTATTTTGTTTTCTGAGACAAGGTTTCTCTCTGTGTAGCTTTGGAGCCTGTCCTGGCTGTCCTGGAAACTCACTCCGTAGACCAGGTTGGCCTCGAACTCACAGAGATCGGCCTGTCTCTGCCTCCCGAGTGCTAGCATTAAAGGCATGCACCACCACCACGCCCACTGCCCAGCACTTTCCATGTTATTTTGGAGGCAGAGTCTCTCACTGAACCTGCAGCTCATCAGTTCAGCTGGCTAGCAGGAACCCTGTCCCCCCACCCCAGCACTGGGATTACAGGTGTACTGCATGTTCGTTCCAATGTTTTTTACATGGATGTTGGAGATGTGAACTCGGGTCCCCGTGTTTACAGAGCAAGTACTTTACAGACTGAACCATTGCTCCAGTCCCAAGACTTCTTATCACACTGTACCCCATAAATATTTACCATTATTGCATATTAATTAAAGGTCTTTAAGTTATGGAGATGGAAATGCTAACTGCCCCGATTTGATCTTTGCAAACTATGCATACATATCAAACATTACCACACCATATCGTTTCGATTTGAACAACTAAAACAATACACTTAGAAAGAGTGTGCAATCGCTCCATTTGTATCTGATCTAGGTTAAGTTTACCATTATGATTTGTTTGACTGGATTTATTTGAAACTGTGTCTCATTTAGCCCAGGCTGGCCTAGACCTTGCTGTGTACTGAAGATGAACTTGAACTCCCAACTGCCTACCTCCCAATGCTGAAATTACAGGTATGTACCACCACTCCAGACAGCGTGAGCCAGATTAAAAACATTTTTAGATTTCCAACTGTCTATCAATTAGGTTAACTTTATTTCTCTATCTTTATCCTTTCTGTGTTTGGAAGAGCGATATGGTTTCAATGGTCTCTGCCTAGCCTGCTGTGGTGGCCTCTATCTGGTGACTAGTGTTATATGTTCACGTGGCACACATAGACAATGTTTTCTTTTCTCGGGAGGTGTCCAGATAGACATGAAGGCGTGCCTGTGTGCCTTTTAAAAAATATCATGTTCAGTGGTCTGGACACTTTTGCCATCAGTGCAGGTTTCCTCCAACTTCTACGCAGAGTAGTTGCTGAAGGTTCCCATTTCATAAGTTTTGGACAGGAAGATCTCTGTCCTTTTCCACAGATGTGGGAGTTGTTGTCCCAATCTAGAGCAGTGGTTCCCAACCTTTCTAAGGCTGTGTGACCTTAATACAGTCCCTCATGTGTGGTGACAGCCAACAATAAAATTCTTTTTGTTGTTACTTCCTAACTGTAATTGTGAATTTTAATGTACATATCTGTGTTTTCTGATGGCCTTTGGTGACCCCGTGAAAGAGTCATTCGACCCAAGGGAACCCCCTTGTTGAAAATTGCCGGTCTAGTGGGAGGACTCGGAAATATATTAAGGTCCAAAAACTGTAAGAACATTGGTCATCCTGCAAATTGCCTTTGCTCAGAGCCTGTGTTTCCCCCTCTATAGCCTTAAGTTATGTCTACCCTGCAAATATTGCAAGGTGTGTCAGGAGAAGCCGAGATAAGAAATGTGACTAACATAAAGTGATTAAGAAATAAAAAAAAAAAAAAAAACTATTCACAAGAGCTGTGAGGAAAGATAGCTGTAAGAAACAGTGAGCCTGGGCATGTGTTCTACACATGCTCCCTTCCCAGCCCCCCAACCACCTTCAGCTTTGGGGGACACCCTGCTTCCTGCAAGGAGACACCCGCCGCCCAATAGCGTGAGGCTCCCTCTGCGTAGCACCGGAGCTCCCATCCTGCTGAAAGTGTGTTGTGAGAAAGAGCAGAACGCTGCCAGGAGCTCAAATTTGCGCTTCAGCACAATCAGCACTGTGGAGCCTATGACGCCTCCCACTCCTGGAGTGGAAGCTGAATGGCAGATGCAGCCCGAACGTTCACTAATTGAGAGGCTTCCGTCCCCGGACGCCCCTGGATCTTGGACAGAAAAAATCCCGGTCGGATATTTAGGATGAGGATACCCAGGCCCTCTGAACTTTTAACGTGCAGTCACGGAGTCAAATGCAAGAATTGCCTAGGATGGAGAAGAAAGAGATCGATCGTGGTCTGGCTGCGGGTTTCCAGCGGAGATGCTGCGAAGGGCACGCCTGCCCCGGAGCCGCTCCGTGCGTCTCTGCGGCACCCCGCCGCCTGCCGGCCCCCTTTTCCCAATTTGTCCTCGGGCCGCAGTCGTCGGCGAATGAATAATTCCCTGCACTTGTGAGTGAGCCCACACAAGTTCCCCAGGCACGGTCCTCCTACCTCTTTCCCCCAGGGAAGGGTGGGAGCAGTTTTTCCAACCGTAACCTTCCTACCACCTGGGGGAAGGTGACTGTTTTGGGAGGCCGAGGGATTGTTTTACTGGATCCAAGGCAGCAGAAGTGGCTGCCTAAGCTAAAGTGGTTCATTTTCTTCCTTTGCTTTTTGACAAACGGTGGGCGGACCGATACCCGGGCGCGACCCCGGGGCTCACTTCGCTGCCGGACGCTGAGTTTCAGACTGCAGCCTTGCTCTGCGTACACCCAGGCCCCTTTGCCGCTCATCGAGTGTGTGGACGGATGAATGCTGACAGGCATCCTTTGAGCATTGGTTAAAGCCCCAGAGTGCTCACCTTTGCATCTCCTGTTTTTCTGCTGCCGCTGCCTCCTCCTCCTTTCCCCCCCCTTCCCCTCCCCCTACTCTTCCCCCATCCTCACCCTATCATCTGCACCACCACCAAAAGACGCGTCCCTTTGGCAGAGTCGAAGCTCCCCGCCGAAACGAAGGGGGAGGGAACACCCATCCCCCACCTCCCATCTCTGCCTAGGCGGGTTTTACTGCAGCAATCGGAGGTGACAGCGCCACCTCGGTCTCGGTAGCTCTCCGAGCCCCGGCTCCCCCTACCCCCCTCCCCACCCCAGTATCGGGGAGGGAAGCGGCCCCTTCCTGAGAGGTTAATCTCCGGAGAAGTGCGAAGGAGCTACAGAAAAGCGAATTTTAAACATGTAGAAGTCACTGGGCTGCATTCCTCGGAGGACAGCCCAATCCCCCTAGGACTGAGTGTCAGCGCATAGGAAGTTGGGACCTTAGAGCGAAGGGGGAGGGGAGTGGCGCAACCCCGCATCCTCTTCGGAAGGAGTCTCTGCAAGCCCTGCGGTTGGACACAAGTTTGCGTAAGAGTGTTTTCCTTTTGTCAATTATTAATCACCGGAATCAGTTTGGCAGAACTGGAGTTTTAGCAGTAGTGCAGAGGGCGGGGCCCGAACACCTAACTCTTGGGGCCTCCCCTGCTCCCGGCGCAGTGGCAAGCTAACAGCAGCTGGGGAGAAGCCAGAGCATCCAAGCTCACCCAAAGGCAGGAGGTAAGCATCTTCCAAAAACCTACATCCAATACGAAGAAGCTTTCTTAACACAGAATTTCTGTCTTCATGGGGGAGGTGTGGGGGGGGGGAAATAGAACTGAGCTTTAATGTAATTTATCTGCTTATTATCTACCACATTACAACTTTAAGAACTGAATGGATCCTCTTGGCATTCACTATGTTGGAAACTAAGATGTTTCACTCAACATAAGCCAAACTTTATTATTGGAACTTTTCCAGCCATAAGAAATTTATTTTACATTATTTTCATTATTCTATCTTTGTGTGGCTTGTTAATATCCAGGGAAATATCTTAGGATGTGTTTGGCTTCCTTATTTATCTAGTAATATGTATCTAGTTTCCTGCTCTTTTTTTTTTATGCCAATAAGTTACTTTAGGCAAGGGTACACCAGTCCACTGCCAGCAGATAAGGCATAGCTAGGAAAGAAATGTGTTTTAGTATTTTTTCTTGATTATTAAGCACAGAGTGTTTTCTCAAGGATGCTTCTGTGACTGTCACAAGCAATCAAAGTCTTCAACCCATGGAGCAATGTGTGTCATAGCATCCTTGGGGAGCATAGGTGGGGAGGTTTTCAGGTACAAGCGTCAAGTCTAGACTTTCTCAAATGGAAAGGCATTCAACTGGTTGGGAGTGCACAGGTCAGCCCAGCCCGTGCGCCAGTACAGAAATTGAGGAACTGTTAAGTCTAAACGTTAGCTCCCAAAGTCCAAATAAATGTATCAGGGAAAGTGGGATGTTTGCTTTTGCAAGAGACTTTATAGCAGCAGTGGTTATTTTGAATCAAAAGTTAGTAAGAAATACACTGCTGTTTTTTGCTGAAGAACTTTTAAATGTGTGCAGAAAATTGCATATCTGATTCATTCCTGTGCTTCTTTCTTAATGTGGCGATCATTTTCATGCTTTTTTTTTAAAAGTTCTTTTTGGGGGGAGGTTGTTTTTGGTTTTTTGATTTTGTTTTTGTTTATTTTTGCTTCTGCAAGACAGGGTTTCTCTGAGTAGCCTTGACTGTGCTGGATCTCTCTCTCTGTGAACCAGATCGAACTCATAGAGATCAGCCTGCCTCTGCCTTTAGAATTCTGAGATTAAAGGCATGCTCCACCACCATCAACCATTTTCATGATCTTTAATAGTTGTGATGACTTTGTATATTGATCACTTAGACCAACAATGAACTTTTGTGTGGGATATGCAACCTCATTTTTCAAATGTTGTCTCTAAACATTTACTAAACAACAATTTAACTGCAATAAGTGAAAAATGGTTGTTAAGGCAAAGGCACAGACTGCATATCAAGTAGAAAACCAACCAGTCTTCAACTCCCGTTGGTTTTCTTAACCTACCGTTTATAAGCTTGCTAATTTTTTTTTTTTTTTTTTTTTTTGGTTTTTCGAGACAGGGTTTCTCTGTGGTTTTGGAGCCTGTCCTGGAACTCGCTCTTGTAGACCAGGCTGGTCTCGAACTCACAGAGATCCGCCTGCCTCTGCCTCCCGAGTGCTGGGATTAAAGGCGTGCGCCACCACCACCCGGCTAAGCTTGCTAATTTTAAAATTAAAAATCATCCTTTACACGTCTATGGCCAATTGTGGCCAACAAAGTCGCTGTAAACTCTGACCACCAATTAACAGCCTTCATTTCAGATTATCCAAGCAGCAGCTGGAGCTAAAAAGATGGCTCAAAGAGTTAAATACGTTCAAGCATGAGGACTCAAGTTCAAATCCCAGCACCCACATCAAAAGGCACAGTAGAGTGTGTCTGTAATCCCAGAGCTGGGAGGCAGCATGAGAATCCTCCAGTCTTCTCCAGATAGCCATTCTAGCCAAATGGGCAAGTTCCTGGTTCAATGAGAGACCCTGTCTCAAAAAGTAAAAGGTGGAGCCATAGGAGGAGACAACAGACACTGACTTCTGACTTCCCCACACAACCCCAAGCATTGCACATAGACCACACCCACATGAGCAAATCATCCAAAAAAGACTCAACTTCTCAAATTATGTCTGTGAACACACCTGTTACAAAACAGTAAGTGGTGAAAATTATCTCGGGATACTATCCTGAGGGATTACAGCAAATAACGAGGTGTTTATGCCAAATAATCGGTAATATCGCAGCAAAAACAGCAAGGGTGTGTGGTATTTGAGCACACTTCCTCTCCCCAGCCTCCTCCAGCTGCTGGTGATCCACTCTGGCTGGATGGAGCTCTGCACTGGGTATTTTACAGAGTTCCCTCCCAACCTAGCATCCAGCCAGCCCAAAGCTCCAGCCGATTCAAAGGAGAAACAGGCCACCACCCTCCTATCTCTCCTGACTTTATGTTACAGAAGATTTATTTCAGGGAGGACCAACTGAGAAGTCAGTCTTTCTTCCTGTAACTACATGCGCACATGCACATACACACACAACTATATGCATACACACACACAACTACATGCGTACACACACACATGACCGAAGATGAACAACTCAATAGCAAAAAGACAAACAGCCCATTATGAAGTGGGTAAAGGTCTGAATAGACCAAATAGAATTTCTCCAAAGAAGAAGTGCCTAAGAAAGGTGCTTATATTTACTTGTTGGAAAACGAAGATCAAAATCATACTGCGATATCACTTCACACCAACCATAACAGTTACAGATGAAACGATCCATAATGATAGACCAGCCCAGTTCATGCTCATATAAAGAATCTGGAGGTGATGGAGATTATGTGGAATAGCTGGGCTGGGAACACAGCTCAGTGGTGCTTGCCTAGCTTGCCTGAGAGCCTAGGTTTGCTTCCTAGCCCCACAAGGAGAATGGGAAGGAAGAGCTACAGCTGCCCCATCTTGCCAGGGTGTAAAATGATGCAGTGGAAAGTAATTTGTTAATTCCTCTACAAGTTACCAAATAGTGCAGTTCCCTCTTAGACATACATCCCGGGGAACCGAGAGATTACATCCACAAAAGAACCAGTGCCCAAATCCTCATCCCACTAGTACACGTAACAGGCAAACCCCAAAACACAGGAAAACCCCTGGAAGCAATCCTAGCATCCATGGAGAGGTGAGCGGGCCAGTACAGTGCATGGAACAGAACAGTAGATATTATTCAACACGCTTCAGCACGGCTGAACCTTCAGAAACTTACATACGCTAAGCGAAAGAATGCACACTGTGCCATTCATCACAAACCAGCGAATCTACAGAGACAGAAACGAGACCAGTCGTTGCTGAGGGCCAGTGTGGAAGACGAGCTGGGGAGGGATGGAGGAGTGACAGCTGACGGGGACGGGGTGTCGTGGGGAGATGACAGATTTTAGACCGTGGGATGGTTTGTGGCTATGGATGCTACACGGCTGAAAAGCCTTGGACTGTATACTTAAACTAGGTTAATTGTATGGGAAGTGAATTACATCCCAACAAGGCATATTATTAAAAACCCATCCAATGTAGGCAGGTGTGGTGGCAATTACCTATAATTCCAGAACATGGGAAGGTGTTGAAAATTCAAATTGCAACTTTGAGATTAACCAGAAAAATTTAGCAAGACTCTGTCTTAGAACATGAAGGGCAAGCTGGGCGGTGGTGGCATACATCTTTGATTCCAGCACTTGGGAGACAGAGGCAAGTGGATCTATGATTCCAGGACAGCCAGGGATATTCATAGAAACCCTGCCTGGAAGGGGGGAAAGAAAAGATACAAAAGGCAGCAGCTGAAAAGATGGCTCAGCTCTCAAGAGCACTGATTGCTCTTCCAGAGGACCCAGGTTTGGGTCCCAGCACCCACACAGAGAGTCAAAACTGTCTATAACTCCAGTTCTAGGGAATCAGATACCCTCTTTGGCCTCTGTAGGCATCACGCATGCATGCGACACAATACAAATATACATACATACATACATACATACATACATACATACATACAGGTGAAACTCTTACACACATCAGATAAAAATAAATCCTTTTTTTTTTTAAAAAAAAAAAAAAGGACTAAAGGTGTGGCTCAATCTTAGAGCATTTGCCTAGTGTGTTCAATCCCCAGGACCAGAAAAAAAAAGTGAAGCATTGAAAGAACAAATGAATTTAGAACCTTTCTGCCCAATGGGCATTTAGAAATAGATGGACTAATTAAGGGTGGCCCAGCAGTTACACAGCTGTATGGTTTGCATAAGTTTGCATACCTGCCCTGGCTTGTCTTCTATTTGGTAATAAATCAGATGCCATTAGCTTCCTGTCACAGGGGATTTACTTGCAATGCAGCACCCGCTCGGACTCACCCATCATTGTAGTAACCCTGGACCTGTTGAGGCTGGTTACTCTTCTCGCTTTTAGGTAAATCTAGTCTTTAACAGTTCTAAGGTTAATTGTTGAATCTGCTATGTCCCACACTGGGTTAGAGAGGAAGGTACCTGACCCTCTGTAAAATGTGGATTCCCACTCAGATCAAAGCACTTTTATTTACCCTAGATTGGCTCTGATGGCCAGAGCCATGGAAGAGCTGGGGAAGCAGCCATTAGTCCCCGAAGCACTCTGATATGTCCTTGCTGGAAAGCATCATCGGTAATTATAACGATCGCGAGCGCAGAGGCTCCTAAATAATTAATTCATGCCTCTATTTGTCTCTTGTGTGTTGAGTTCCCACAGCTTCCCCAGCCTGTGCGAAGAGCCACGGAATGGGAGGGCAACTCTTTGTCCCAAACAAGTACAAAGTTAGTGCGTCTTGGAACCCTGGAGGGGAGGGAATGTGATGTGAGGACAGTTAGGAGCACACTGAATCAAACCGTACCTTAAGCTGTGTGGATTAAAGTCTTCCTGCTTCGGGAAACCTCAGGGATTCTCAGGGATTCTCCTTCTCACCTAAACAGGTCTGTCCCTCCGTGCGTCTGTTTTTACGAGTGTGCCAAGCCCATGGAAATAGATTCCATCCGGTCTTTAACTACCATGGTGGGTGTCATATTTTGTCCAATTAGAAGACTTCTATTGAAAAAAGTTGCTTGTGTGTCTGTATGCGTCTACAGGTCCATACACACATGTAGGTCAGGAGACAGCTCTGGGTGTCATTCCTCAGGTGCAGACCCTCTTTTCTGTCAGGCAACAACTTTCATTTCCTTGGCACTTGCTCGCTAGCCAGCAAATACTGGGGAATCTTCCTGTCTTCATCCCTCCAGCACTGATTACAAGCATGTACCATCATGCCTTTTTTTTCTTTTTTGGTATGGATTCTGGGGATCTAACTCAGGTTCTCATGATTGCTCTTTTACAAACTGGACAATCTTCCTGGCTGTGGTAAAGAATGATTTTAATATCTAATCATTTGTCTATACATTGAACATACGTAGGAGAAGTTGAGCATGACTTTTCTTCGTGTTTTGGTGGAAGGCTGTGGGAAAAAGAGAAAGGTTCATTGTTGGAGGAGGCTTCTGTCCCACCCTGTCCTGCAGTAAAGACACAGAAACTATATTATTTGCAATACTGTTTAGCCAATCACTTAAGCGTATTTCTAGCTTGCTCTTACATCCTAAACTAACCCATCTCCATTAATCACCACAAGGTTGTGGCCTACTGGCAAAGTTTTGGCAGGCTCCACGGAGGCGTCTCTCTCTTGCAGGTGGCTACATGGCTTCCCCTGACTCCATCTACTCTCTCTCTCTCTCTCTTTCTCTCTCTGTGTATATTTCTTCTAGCCTGGTTATATTCTGTTAAGCCCTTTGCCAAAAGCAGCTTCTTTATTAACCAATAAAAGCAACACATAAACAGAAGAACTTTTCACACCAGTTCATGAGGCAGCATGTATTTTTATGTAGCTCAGGCTAGCCTTGAACTCATAATAGTCCTGCTAAGACTACCAAGGGCTAAGATCATAGATGTGCCCCACCGTGACTTAATCATTACTTAATCGTTACTCTTAATATCATTTTCACTCAGGATTGAAGAAGGCACATATTTGGCAGGCATTTGTTGCACATCTAAACCACTCCAGGACACCCTCAGGCCTTGTCTAAGTAATAAGCATACAGACAAAGCGTCCTGACCCTTTGAGGTGTTTATAGTCTAGTGGACATCTCAGACATTAGTAACAGAAATAATAGGTGAGTGTGTAATTTATAAGGAGGTAAGAGCTCTGGGGAAAATAAAGACGGAACGGGGTACAATTTTAAACTGCAGGCTCAGGCTAAAAAGTAAGAATGTGCTACAAAAAGCCTGACCCTGGAGGAAGCGACAGGGATTCCCAGCATCAAATGAGCTCCTCTTCCCCTTACAGAGGTTTGCTTTCCCTTTTACACTTTCCTCACCCGCCAGCATTAGCTTTCTGCCTAAATATCCCATTGTTTCCTAAAGGGAAATCTATCCCCAGCGCATAGCAAGTAGGCACAAGGAAGAAATACCCCAGCACCTGCTTGAAGAATTACAGCTGAACTATTATTAACAAGGCAGCATCTTTTTTGTTAAGTCTTTGAGAATTTCTTGCATGCATGCAATCTATTTTAATAATATTCAGTCCCTCGTTCTTCCTCCTAAGTCCTTCCAGATCCACACCTGCCCCCCCCCCTTTCTTAGGATCCACTGAGTCCGACCTGTGCTGCTCACATACTCATGGGTACAGGGGCATCCAGCAGAGTGTGGCTAACCCACCTGGGGTCTCACCCTTAAAGAAAGCCCCCTTTCCTCCCTGGAACAGCATCTAATAACAACTCTTCTCACTCTAGGAAATCATCAGGCTAGGCTCAGTTCTTCTTGGCCCTTTCGGCAGCGGTCTAGGATTGCACACAGTGTTCTCAGGGGTTGTACACAAACTGCAGATCGAGTTCCCCAAAGGCAGCACCTTTTGGAAAGTAGAAGGGAGTCTGAGGGGAATGAAACCTCGAGAGCCCATCCTGGACTAATGGAAGAACTACAGAAAGGGAAGAGAACCTGGAGTCCCACGGGTCAGCTGTAGAGGCTGAGGGAAAAGTCACCACCCCGTTGTTCCAGAATTTCTGCCTGGTTCCAACCGTCCCCAGGGAGCCCTGTTCTAACCATACAGAGTTAGGTGTAGCAATGCTTCTTCTAGGTGTGGCTTAAGAGGAGCAGGGATGGAATTTTGTAAGTCAAAAAAGACATTTCTTTTAGTCTCAAATGCAAAGTGTGTAAGAATGTTGAGTAGAATTAGAGACAGCTTTTTTTTTAAAGAAAAATCTGTTATAATGGGACATTAGAATTCTCATACATTTATTTAACATGCTTTAATTAAGCAACTACCGTATGCCACTCATGGAGGAAAAGACATGACAAAGAAGACCTTACTCAAATCTCTTTCTTTCTAGACTGCTTTGTGTGTATGGTACTAGGAACTAAACAGGACTCCATTCACGCTAAGCAAGCACCCTGACAACTGAACTGTATCCCCAACCCAATACATCACTTGCTACAAAATGGATGAAGAACCCAGGATAAGACTTTCAAGGATGTGCTGCCCTACCAACCCGGTTCTGGCAGCGTTTCTTCACCCCATTCTATGCCCTGGTTTACCTGCTACTTCCCTGTCAGAACATTTACCACACTGTGGGGAGATGCCTGTCCCTCCTCTCAGGAAAGCAGCCTGGAGAAACTAACCATGTCAGCCTTAATGAGCTGTGCACCCCTCTGGTGACCTTGCTACCTTGTTGATTGAAACAGCTAGGATGGATGGATGGATGGATGGATGGATGGATGGATGGATGGATGGGCGGGCCAACAAATGATTTGCTGGACTGTGATCAAGTTCTTTGCAAAGCAAGTCAATGTGTTAGGGTAGCTCAGAGTATGCGCTCTGCATTTTTGTTTTGGTTTTGGGTTTCCGTTTGTTTGCTTGCTTGCTTTATAAAACTTCGGGTCAATTTTAAAATTCCCTCATACTGCCACTTCCGTATTTAAAAAGTGAGTGCAGAAATACTGCTATCCTTACAGTGTTGCTAAGTGAAACCTATGAGGTCTTCCCTAGAAAGTACTTAGCAAAATTCTGGGCTATAAATTGCTCAATAAGTATCTACTGCTATTACCAAAACAGACCGGCTTTCAGGCTGACAGTCTGCTACTCCAGTGTTCCGGCCCTGCTCCTGCACCTCCACTGTAAGATCAAAGGCTCTCAGTCAGGCCTAGCAGGAGCCATCATGCTGCCGTCAAGGTCAGTGAAAAGATTTAAAAAAGAAAATTTGGAATGAAATGTAAGTAGCATATTGAAGAATAAAATTAAATTGACCAGAAAATAAAAAAAGGAAAAGGCTCAAGATGACATACACAAAGCAAATTTTCCAGGATTGTAACCCCTCTGTTGCTGTCACCTCCCAGACCAGTCAAGTACTCGTCCTGTTACACACTCAGCATGCCTCGCAGAATATCACGCCCAGTGTCAGTGATGTAGAGAAGAAAGAGATACGAAACCCATCCTGCTCGAAACTGAGCCTTGCCTGTACCTTAGGGCACTGAACTGTCCTTTTGGCATCTTTTGCAAACCTAATTATCTTTCTGGGGTACGCCAGACCTCAAGCTATCTATGACATTCTAAACTAACCGAAGAAAGAGCTAACTGGACCAATCAATGGAAATCTAGAAACCTTAATAATTACCTTTAATAAGACTAATAATTACAAGGAATAGAATACCCTGGGGCTTTTCTCCAACTGGCGGATCCACAGAGAATCTTAAATCTTACATAGAAATGTTTTAATTACTGGACTTGGGCCTCTGTGGCCCTGGGAGCTCAGAACTGACAGGCATCAGCTGTGGCAGAAAGCAACGTGGGCCAGCGAGGGGGCTCAGCAAGTCAAGACACTTGCCACCACCCTGGCCACCTGAACACAATCCCTGGGAATGGCATGTGGGGGATGGAGAGAACAGATTCGTGCAAATTGTTCTCTGGCCTCCCCGTGTGAGCCGTCACACACACACTAAATAAATGTAAAAAGTTTTAAACGTGACCACGAGCACAATTGTGCCCGGCACACACATCTAGGTCACATTAGAAGGAAGGAAGCTATTCTAGTCAACAGAGCTTTGTTTGGCTAAACTTCTGTTGCCATTAAGATGTGACTACTGTATACTTCTCCAGAGAGGGATTTTTTTTTAAAGGCTTTTTATGTATAATAGATTTAAACCTGGCATGCTATTTATCCAAGCGTGTATACATATTCCTTCCTGCCTTAGCTGACTGTCGGCAACTAAATGAACAACTTAGTTTTGGACACAAGGAAGCAAGAATAACACACTAGGGGTGGGAGGGGTAGTTCAGAGGTGGAGCGGCGTGCACAAAGCCCTGGGTTCAAACCATGGCACTGTGAAAGTTAATGGCCAAATTTAATACTATGAATTTCTTTCATAAATCATGTATGCATCCTCTGCCACCCTCCCATAGAATGCACAGCACCCAAACCAGTGTTAGGTTCATACAAATCACTCAGGAAATAATTGTGATATGAATTGAACGTATCTGTACTCACTTAAAATTTAGTTCTATGTAATCAGTAAAGAAGTAATTTTTCAAATCTATGTAGTAACAAATGAAAAAAATATTCTTTGAGTAAAATGAATTGAAAAACCTCAGGGTTCGAAATTAAGTACATAAAAAAATAAAAACTTGTTGAAGGTCAAAGAAAAAAAAAAGAAATTAAGTACATAGTATGCCTTAGCTAGAGTTTCCATTTCTGTAATAAAATGCCATGACCAAAATCAACTTGGGGAAGAAAGGATTTATTTGGCTCACATGTCCTAGGTCACAGACCACTGAAGGAAGCCAGGACAGGAACCTACAGGCAAGAACTTCAACAGGGGCCGTGGAGAGGTGCTGCTTACTGGCTTTCTCCTACCTATGGCTTGCTCAGCCTGCTTTCTTATATCATCTGCCCAGGGATGGCACAGCCAGCAGTGAGGTGACCTCTCCCCCATTCATCACCAATCAAGAAAGCGCCCCTAAGACTTGCCCACAGGCCAATCTGATGGAGGCATTTTCTTGGTCAGAATTCCTTCTTCCCAGATATATCCAGGTCTGTGTCAAGTTGACAAAAAAACAAGCAGAACACACCACACCACATAAATCACAAGTCGGTTTAAAAGAAAGAAAGAAAAAAAAAAAAGACACCCAAATTTGAAGAAGCAAGGACTATTCATTTGCAAAGCCACAATGCCACAATGTTTCTCTTAAAGCTACAAACTGCTAGCTGGACACTATTTGCCTTGTTCAAAGCTGAACTAGTGTATACAAATACAGTGTTCATGACACTGAGATCCTCCTGACGGTCTGATTACCTGAGCTGTTTTAAATAATATGCAACTGAGGGAAAGCTGTCGCATCATGGAGATTTGCATGTCTTTAGCTCAGTTAAATGATAAATGACATTTTCCTGAAATGCTTACATGTGTTCTCTGTGACATTCATTCCATCTAAATACTTTTGCATGAGTCGGGCAGCGGTGGCATGCACCTTTAATCCCAGCACTCAGGAGGCCGAGGCAGGCGGATCTCTGTGAGTTCGAGGCCAGCCTGGTCTACTAGAGCTAGTTCCAGGACAGCCAGGGCTGTTACACAGGGAAACCCTGTCTCAAACAACAACAAGAACAAAACTACATGAAACAAGCTGTTGGCAAACATAATGAGCATAGAATCTAGAAATGAAAATCATTCTTAGTACTTAGCAATGATAAATATGAAGAAGCACACATAACTAATCCCCTTCTTAAACCTCATAAAATAAATTAATTCTGTTACTTTTAGATTGACTCCTATATCCTAAGGATATGCTATTTATAAGCATGTGTGTGTGTGTAAATAACAAAGACATATATAGAGAAATATGTGTAATCTACTAATATTATAATATGTAAAAAATTCAGCTTCTCACAAGCATGTCTCAAATTCCAAATTTAGTAATCACTATGAGCCACTAAACTAAATGCTGCAGAAAGCGATTATTCAGTTGCCGTAGACCTTGTGAATAACACGTGTTAAACCGCGGGTTTTCCCTCCATAGCTGTAAGTGGATTATCTCACAACCAGGTTGTGCAACCCGCTTTTAACATCTCTCTTCATAAACATGACAACCCTTTAAGCGATAAGAGCTATCGCCCTGTTGATCCATCACTCTGACACATCAGTTTTGATCAGCTGGAGTCTAATTTCTTCCTGTTGCATAATTACTTAAGAATCCATTCTGCTAGGAGTGAGTTCCTGGAAAGATTTGGGCAGCTGATGTTGTAGAATACAGGTTTGCGTTTTAGGGGGGAAAGGAAAAACTAGTAACGGAAGGGAGCAAGAACACAGCATGCTGTGAAGCCAATGTGGAGCTGGGTCAAGTGCAGCTGCCTTTCCCAGAGGCGGGCAATGGATACTTTGTCAGGATGCCTGAAAGAATGGGATTCTTCGTTTCGTCCTTAACTAAGAATAGAAAATGACTTCTCCTCTTCTTCAGTCAACAATTGAAAAATAAATGTGTTGCTTTCAGGGTAACGCTGTTGCTAGGCATACTAGGCAGAGATGGAAGATAAAGCCACAAACAACCTATGTTCCCATGTCCCCGCCCTGGGGACAGGGAGTCTTCACATACTTTTAGTTTATTTAATTAAAAAAAATTTTTTTTGAGACAGATTCTCACCATTAACTCTACCTGGCCTAAAACTCACATGTAGACCAGGCTAGCCTCTAACTCACAGAGATCCAGCAGACAGGAGAATGCCAGGGTTAGAGGCATGTCAAGGCTTGTGCCAGCACAACCAGCTAACCTTCGTCATAATAAATTATTGTCTAAAGGTCTAAACAGAGAGAGAGAGAGAGAGAGAGAGAGAGAGAGAGAGAGAACAAGCAGGTTGACCTCATTCTCGATTTGGATTTGGCTGGCTGACAAGAAAATCTGATTATAAGGGAGGACAAAAGGAAAACAGAAAGCAAAAAGCAAAGCTTTCACGGTTTCCTCCACTGAGAAGAAAATAGACGAGGGTGGATACAGAGTCAGGCCGCCACTGCCGCACCCACTGCCTTCTTGCTGGCAAAACCCCAGTTCCCAGAACCGTCTGTACCCACCTTACCTGGCTCCCTGTCCCCTGACCCACCTACCTAGTGTGTCTCTGAAGTATTCGAAAGGGTAAACGGAAATCTCTCAAGGAAGGGGAAAATGCTTAGAAAATGTGAGAAATAGTTATATAATAACGAGATAAATTTGCTCTTATATCAGATATAGAGAGATACACTTTACTGTGTTGTGAGGATGAATCTCTACAACATACAGAGATCACGAATCACATATGTTATTCATGTAACTTATGCACAGAGAGGTTTAACAACCTCTAGAACGTCAAAGAGTAAGTTCAGGATGTACAAAGTAAAATATCAACGAATTTTTGTGCTGTTCAGAGTGGATCTTGGAATTGGTGAACTCTTAGTAACTCTGTCTCTATTCATCGTTTCCCACGGTTCTTCGAAACAGCTGACCTCACAGGCGGGTGCTCCTCAGCCTTGAGTGGCCTTGAACTTCTCCTCCCTCCACCTCCAACGCTAAGATTATAGGCGTGTGCTACCACACCTGCTAATCTCATCCTAAATCCTGCCTCCCAGTTTCTGACAGTCTGGAGAAGGCACCGGGAAGTCTTTGCTAGAACCTGTTCCCAGTGGAGTCCTCAGCATCTCACCAGGGAAACGCATTCTTCTTTATTTTTTATTTATCTGTGCATACTTTGCATGCTAGGCAAGTTCTCTGTCAGGAATTGTCCCTCCAACCCCACCCCTTCCCCTGCACTCAGCTCCTACTGACAACTATTTTTCTAAGATTCACCTCTGAAAACAGTAAAGTAGTTCTAAACTGTGATCGCTTGTAGCGTCAGTTAGAACATCTGTCCTTCTCAGTTAGAACATCTGTCCTTCTCAGACCGCTAACTCCTCCCCCTCCAGAGATTTTCCAGCCCTTGAGGATGCACTCGGCTGGCTGGCATGGCCTTTTCTAAGAGATAGAAGAAGAGTGTGGTGGTTTGAAAGAGTTGTTGGGGTCATGATGTCTCTTCACAGCAACAGAAACCCTAGCCAAGAGGTACAGCCCCTTTTACTCAACTATGGCATCATATTTTGCAGATATATAGGAATACTGAATTATTTATCATACACAGTCTACCCAAGGTCAGATTTTTAAACTCCAAGATTAACCCAATTTCTTCTTTTTCTCCTCACCCCCTCATATGATATTAACACATGTTCAAAATCAAGAAACATTCCTTCCCCCCGCCCAAAAGTTGCCCAGAAATCCAGTCCTCGAAACAGAGTAAGAGCAGACTGCTTCCGTGGAAATTGGGAGAAGGATCCTATATCCTTGAACCTAGTGTTCAGGTCACAGCTGCAAAGTCATCAGCCACTGTCGTATTCTTAAACTCTGATTTTCTTAAATGCTGATCTTCCCCCCACATAATTTTTCAAATGATGTTAGCACATCCCTTGTTGTTGCACAATATACCTAGACTTGTGGAAGAGAGCCTGGATGGTTGAGTGACATTTCTCAGGGGATACGATCGTTGTAAAGTCTGCAAGCATCTTTGATTTAATTGCGCTGAAATCTTTATTCACAGATGAAGAGATAAAGGCCAGAGAAGAGAAGCCACCTCCACCAGATCTCGCAGAAGAGAAACACAACGGCACTCCAGCCTGGACCCCTGCTCAGGTGAGCTCCTCTGCTTGCATCGTGGACTTGCAGAAATCTTTTAGAAATGTGACCCTTCTCATGGTAACATTACATCTTTACTAAGATGAAATCCTAGTCCTCTGTCAAGCAAGCAGCAACAACTTATGGCATGCTTCTGGAATATCGTATTGACACTGGAGGTAACCAAGGATGACACTGGCGTTAGCTTTGCTTCATCTCAAAACAGTGACTCCTGACTTAAAGACTTAGCAGGACCTTTGAGGTGTAGACACAAAATATTCCAACTGTGCAATTTGCACAAATTGCAAGGGTTACATAGACGCCCCCGCCCCCAACCTTTAACTATAGGTTATAAACCCCTGGCCTAGAAAACGCCAGTGGCAGGATGCAAGCCAAAAACACAATAGCAGAGCGCTAGCTCCTGCCTTATTTATGGGTCTCTGGTGGAGGACGAATTCTGTTTCAGGATCCTTCATCTTTAATTTATACGATGCAGCAGTTTATCCTGGAAGGCTCTCGGTATGAGAGGAACATTTTTCAGTAAACATTTAGTTTACCAAGTGGGATAAATTAATATAACCAATATGGAAAAACGAAGACATTGTCTTCCAAAATCAAAACACTCACAGCGTAAGTGAGAATGGTCAGTGTTCACAGGAGGGCATTTATTTTATTTTGTTTTACAATTCTTATTACAATTATTAAGGAAAGGGACCAGACTGAAAGGAAACCTAGCCGGCTGGTTCCTATTTAAATAATTATAAAAGCACCCATTCACCCATAGGGAACAGTGCGAATGAAAGGCATCTATCCCTGTGTCCTGGGGACGTCTGAAAGCCCTGGTCCTTTCCTGTTTGCAGCAGTGTTTCAGGGGACTTATAGTTCCAGGCTGGAGAGCAATAGTTTCTTTATTTCCATGTATTTTAAGAAACTTGCAAATACTTTAAATTTATCGGTAAGGAGTGTTGGCCTCTGCAGATGAAAACATCCGTCTTGAACATTCTGGTAGCATTAGTTAACGTGGCAGGAGCAATGTGTCCTACCCTGCGGTGACAGGTGCTCGCACACTTCAGTGTCTCAGGGTCCCAGGATCAGGGCTGGATCCCAGGATCGGGACTGGGTCCTAGGATAGGGACTGGGTCCCAGGATCGGGACTGGATCCCAGGATCGGGACTGGGTCCCAGGATCAGGGCTGGATCCCAGGATCGGGGCTGGGTCCCAGGATCGGGACTGGGTCCCAGGATCGGGGCTAGTTTGACTCCCAAATAAGCAGAACACAAACCCTGGAGCCTGGGCTTCTTCATCTCGTGAAGTGAGCTGATGCCCGTGAGGGTCTTCACTTGGTCCTCTGCATGTGCGGTGCTGTGCTCCAGAGGGCAGTTAGGACTGAGCTTGCTAGGACTGTTTGTCTCTAGTGTGATAGTCACATGGAAATCACATACTATACCAAATATACTAGTATATTACTAGCTATTATATTAGCTAATGTAATACTTTCCCAAGGGTTGCACTAAGCACTTCATTTTTTTCTAATCTCTTCCCAGCAGATGTGGGCATGGAGTTCTGTCCCCCATTCCTGTTCCCCAGCTGAGACAACTGAGGGAAGGCGGGTAATACGTTACTCAGAGTGACTCACCCAGGGCTGCAGTTCAACCCTAGGCAGGACCCAGAACTCACCCGTGTAATCACCCCAGCATCTCGCCTCTCCCGACTCCACTCAGTCACATGGGCTGTTAGGCCTCAATTTATTCAGCTCTATAAGGATAATCGAAGCCCCCAATCCAGTCGTAGGCCACCACACTGGCACTGAGAGAGGCTGCCTCTGCTTGGAGGAGGTGATTGTAATGAGATCCCGCATCCTCAAGGACTTTTGTCTTTGTTTCTGGGACAGCTCTAACAAATCAACATAGGTGTGGTGGCTTCTGTCAAAGAAATGTGTCTACTGGTAGTGCTGGAGGCAGAAGTATGCAATGAAGGTAGGGACGTGCCACCTGCCACCTGCCTTCCCCCACCACCCACAAATATACACTCTACACACACACACACACACACACACACACACACACACACACACACATAGTGGGGGCCCAAGGGGGGTTGTATGTCTGACAGGCATCTGGATGGCTTCCACATGACTGTTTCCAACCATGCTGCTGTACACATAGCTGGACTTTGAATGACTTTTTGGAGAAAAACTTCTAGTGACTTGAAAGACCCTTACTTTCTTATGTTCATGTTTTACTGCTAAAATTAACTTGGCAGCCTTCGGCAGTAATAGCACAGAAGTGAGAAGCCAATTGGAAGCTACATATCCCCCTTTCACTGTAGAGTGACAGGGATGGATTTTTAATGAAGCGTTAACAAACAGCATACCCCAAGAAACACACAGCTAAGTGTGGACCTAGAAGCCCGTCTCGCCATTGCGGGACTTTAAAAAGTGCACAGGGACACTGCCCTGTCCCTAGGTCGGTAAATGATGAGATACCAGATAGAAAGCATAGCATGTCATCCCCCACATCATTATAAACCCTCTCCTATCCATTTCCATATTAATATACGTTCCCCCATTTATGGTTTTGAAATGAATAGCGTCTTTCGATAGTCACACAACATTGAATCTAAGCAAATCTCTGAATTTTGTATGCCCTAAATTATAGTCAGTGCTTTCACTAAAGCTGAAGTCCAATCTTTTTCTCTCGGCCGTGAGCCCTGCACTCATAAAGTCATCTGAAGGCTGAACTGAGCTCCCTCAAAACAAAACAAAGAACAACTTCAAAATCAGTTATTTGGAACATGTCTTGTGGTCTTCCACTTTTGTTCCTATTAATAAAAATTAGACACACTGAAGTAGGTAGAGCCACAAAACACTCGTACGGAACACTTGGCCTCTTTGTTGCTGACTTTCCATAGCTCACTGGGAAGTGCAGGGTTACACAATGTAACAGAGTAACCCACAGCCTGAAAGCGAAGCCTGTGCTCACTTACCATGCTTGCTTCTTCCCCTCTCATCATGAATGCATAAGGAACATCACTAACTGCTCTGTGCTCGTTTACTCTGTGCTTCTCCCTTGCCTTTCATTCATCCCGAACTCCTGGGTCCCTTCTTAGCCTCCACTAAACACTTGGGTTTATATTCTGATTTCTAATACTCACCCTGTCGTCAGCTTGGGAAACGAGTCCCTGATAGAAACTTGGCAAGCATTTCAGTATGGAAAGAAAGTTCCCAGGGAGAGATTAAGCAAGATTGGAACTTTTTGTAGTGCACAAAGGCAACAGAAACCAATAAACTAATCACATTTTATATTCGCAGAGATTCGGTATGAGGTTGTGCCATTAATTATAAAGACTTCTCTCAATCCATGTCACTGATGATTTAAGAAATTGCATGTGGCAGAGCTAAGGAGAGGGCTCAGTGGGTGAAAAAGGTGTTGTGTAAGAGTGAGAGACAAAGTTCCAGTCCCTAGAATCCACAGAAAAGGCTAGGCACTGTAGCGCATGTTTGGGCGGAGGTAGGGCAGACAGGTGATCCCAAGAGCTTGTTGACTGGCCAATCTAGCCAAGATGGTGAGCTCCAGGTTCAGTAAGAGACCTTGTCTAAAAATAGAACAAGATACTCAACACTGACCTGGCCTTGGGACACACACACACACACACACACAGGAAAAAAAAAGATAAGAAATTACATTCTGCATCTCTGTGCATTGAACTGTGCTCAGGGGAGGAAGCCACTTGGGATTTGGCCCCTGTGACAAGAACAAGCATGTGAAATTGTGCCTTGCTCACCCTACACAAGAAGACGAGGCCCTGCCCAGGGCCATATCTGAAAGTGTTCCGAAATGGTAATGCCTTTCGACGGGAAGCTTGACTCAATAGCCACATAGATGCATTGGTTGATTGGTTATGACTGCACCAGGCGATTCAATTAGTACAAAGAATAAGACCTAGAGTTTCCTCCTGTAAAATGCACAAGCCACTGCACTAACTAGTGTAATCAGAATGCTCCATGGCTTTCTCAGTCTATCACTTCGCAAAATCACACAGTTTGAGGTGATAGGACCACAGCTCACAGCACACACTGCTGCTCTCTTACACGCGCTCCAGCGACTAAGTCAAGTTGAAAAGAAGCTGTCAACTATTACTTGTTCTACAGAAACCACTCCTGACACAAAGAGCTTTGGGGACATACCCAAGGATGTAACTTAAGACAGACAGACAGATAGGAAAGAAGGGGACCCGAAAAGGAAAATGGAAAGAAAGAAAGAAAGAAAGAAAGAAAGAAAGAAAGAAAGAAAGAAAGAGAGAGAGAGAGAGAGAGAGACAGAGAGAGAGAGACAGACAGAGAGAGAGAGACAGAGAGAGAGAGAGAGAGAGAGAGAGAGAGAGAGAGAGAGAGAGAGAGAGAGAGGTGAAAGGAAAAGGAAGGGAAGAGCGCTGCTGTGAAATCCAGCTCTCCAGGTGTTCCCGGGGTATTTCCTCATCAGAACCACTTTCCTATCCATCTTAAATTTTCAGTCACCTAGCACAAGCACTTGGAAGAGGCATTTTTGTGAAATTTAAATCCACTTCACTGGTGTTCCTTGTAGAGCCTGCAAGCTATTAACATTAGGAGAAACTACAAATGCATTTGTGATTTTCGTTTGCTTGGTGTGTGTGTGTGTGTGTGTGTGTGTGTTTAAATTGCTCGCTCCTTTCTATTCTTCAAAAAGACAGATGGGACTACATTTGTCTAAAGTCATTGCCTCAAACAGATCGTGTGAATTCCTAAGCGCCTCTTTGGGGCTCTCCATCTTGCTGGGGAAATAATGATACTCAGATTAACTTGGGAAGCACGTCCAAGAATGTCTCTGGTCTCAATAACCACATAGTTTGTCAGTCATCCAGCCTGTTATCTTCCCAGCCAGGTCCTGGGGTGATGAGATGAATGCCACGTTCAATTTGCTTTTAAAAAACAAAAAACAAACAGACAAAAAAAAAAACCCTTCAATCTACTGAGGCAATGGACTGCGTGTGAGTAATAC